CCCCCCCCCCCCCTCGAGACTGTCCATGTACATTATTTAAATAACGGTCCAAACCATTAAAGGAAAACCCATGTTTGGTTGGCAGGCACAATGAAAATGGCATCTGATTCCGCATTTCAAGCCATTAACTAATCCTCTCTCACGTCTTTTTAAATCATTTTATTCCGTCACATTTTTTACTAATATAACTGCATCATGTTAATTGTTTTTTATAAGAATCTTCGAACCCATTCATATATTGCATCTCGTTTTTCAAATTTCACGTCTATTTCACAACATTAATTACTACAATAAACTTTTTCTTATCTAAATTATATTCAAACGACGACAAGGGATGTGAAATATGTGCGGGTTATCTGCTGATTCGTGTTACATGTGCTTTACAACTATTTCTATGGGGTTTGTTTATACATAATAACAGTGAGATTAGGTAGATGGCCGTACGTTTTTTGAAATAAAAATATCTAGTGGAGTGTGGTAGTAATAATGATCATTCAAAGGAAAACCATGCGGTGGCCCGGCGGGTCTGCTTTTGTAAAATAATAATAGCAAATGATTTTCATAATAATGATGGCATTTTCCTGTGCTATCCTCTATAACTAAACACGGTACGTAATTTCTTGCTCATCGACATTATTTAAATATTGAACGAAAATAACCTTAGGATAGTCAACAAAATTTATGATTTGGTGTTCTGTAAATCATGTCTTAAAAAGTTCTATCAAATCAAATGAAAGGAAAGGAAAATAAAACATGAAATAGAAGGTTCGCTTATTTTATTTGGAGTGATAGAATCATATATACAATATTTTGCTTATATTGCGCTAATTAACATATACAAACGCATTTTCGCAAAAAAAAAAAAAAGTTACCGAAGAGGGAGGAGTAAAAAGATTTCATGATAGACAATAATAACGCACGAGCACACAAGTCAAAAGCCATATGCATTAAGAAACAAAAAGCTGTCTCCGTAACTATCTATTACTTCACCGAATGCTCGTTACACTATTTTACGATTGCACGTTTTTGAATAAAAGATGAAAACTTTTATTATATCACTTGCCTCATGCGATGCGTTGGGATTCGATAATCATTACCGTATGTGGGATTAATGTCGGTCAAATGCGGAGAAAAAATATGCTATTTTTGTTTTCCTTGTAACGATTCTAAAACGAATTTGAATATTAATTAGTCAAGTTTAACATTCTCGTATGGGGCTCAACCCTCTTTTGTGATCCGTATTACGACAAATGAAAAGAAAATATGCGAATTTTTCAAATTCGATCATGGGAATGGAGAATAGAGAATAAGGGATGAATACATTATGCAAACATTTATGTGGATAGAAGAATTCATGAATACATATATTGTTCCACAGAGCCTAGTATTCATGTTTTCTTCTATCCATCAAATTCCTGAACAAAAATAAAAAAAAGCATACGATATACACTAAGCAACCCAAATGAACCAACCCAAATAACCATATCAAACCCACTACGAAGGAAAAATAAAAAAACCCCCAAAAAAAGGAAGAGAGAGAGAGAGAGAGAGGACTATCTGTTAGCTAGTTCCGACAGCTTTAACTAAAGTACACCATGTGAGAAAAAGATCATGAAAGGAAAGAGATGGGTTAACAAGAAAGAAAAGAAAGAAGAAAGCTAACTTCATAATCTCCATTTTTTGTTTCTTAACGTTTGTTATCATTCCTTCACCACGAAGGTCCTCCTGTTGTACTGAACATTCCACTCCAATAAGCATTAGCGCTTGAATTGGCTTGACTCTTCTGGTGATGATCGTTCTCATCAACTTCTTGTGTCGTTGTGCTCGAGAGCTCTTTCATCTCCGCAAACGGAAACAAAACCCTACCTGATCCGTTTACATTCTCATTTTCTTCATTGGACCTGTTGTTACCACTATTGTTGTGTCCGATCTCTCCTGCAAAAAGGAGGTTTTTATTTGGCTTGTAATCCGCCATTGTCGGAAACCCTGAGGAGGAGTAAAGAACTGCGTTCGAATCGATCATGGAACCAGGCATGAACGCGTTGAACCCTCTTGACGAAACTCCCGTTCTCAGAAGCTCGAGAGCTGAAACAGGAGACGATGACACATACAGAGAAGGCGAAGAAGAATTCGGGTTTGGTTGAGTAATGCTGTTCTCGATCTTGGGCATTTGAAGAAACTGAGACATGTTGTAATGATGATGATGATGATGGCCGTCTTGCATGACAGGGAAAGACAACAAGTTGAGATCTTGAGATGACCCTTTTGGTTGTATAATCGACGTCGAATTAGGGTTTTGGCCCGAGAAGAGAATCGGTGGGTTTGGATCTGGTAACTTTCTGGTCAGACCAAGAGAAGATGACGAGGATGGCGTTTTGAGGATCGACGACGAAGTTCTCTTGTTCTTCCTCGAGCTTCCTCCGACAGGGACGTTTCGAAGTGAACCACCTTCGGTCCAGTACCTTCGACAACCTTTGCAGAAGTACCTTGGTTGTGTCAGACTGTAGTTGTTGTAGTAACAAAACTTGGTGTTTGTTGAGTTACATCTCGGGCAGTTCAGTTTCTCATGCGGTCTTGCTTTCCTCTCCGCCGAGGCGGCGCCGTTTCCACTTCCTCCGCCGCCGCCGCCACCGGGGCCGGCGTTGTTGGTGTTGAAGATAATGCCATTGGGCCTTGCGCTTGTAGTGCATGTACGTTGTGCGGTATTATCTGGAATAATTTGCTCCATGGGTTTGACGTTTGTTAGTTCTTGAAAACCCTACAAATTAAGATGATTTAACTTGATAATTAGGTTAACAAATCCATATGTACAAATTCACTCATGGGGTAATTTAAAGGGCAAAAAATGTCAAACCCACCCATGAATTCGAATTTGAGCTTATACTTGGACCAGTCAAATCTCCAAAATCTATATAAACCAAGTGAAAATTTGAAAAGAGCAAACCTAAACATGCACACAATTATATATATTGTGCATCAAAAGCCACGAAAAAGTGCACATAACACTGATTAAGGACGTATTAGGGTTTCTTCGGGCTCCATCTACATCTTTTGGATTTGGTGAAAGAGAAAACTAGAGAAAAAGAAGAAACAAAAAAAAAATGTAAAAGAGGTGTTACATGAACACCAAGAAAACAAAAGGGTAAATAAATTTTTTTTCTTCATCCGTTCCAATTTACAACTGATCACATAAAAAGCCGGGGAAAAAGCTTGTATCTCATCTCTTTCTTCCATAAACTTGGAAAAAAAAAAGATGAATTTTCCCATGCGAATACTCATGGAAACATGTGTAAATAAGCCTAGATAGCTGTCTACTATCCATGCCCACACGCATATAGAGGCGCATCACAAGAGTTAGCTAGATTCATATCCATATATCTGCATCTCGATCCACACAATAATAAATATATATGCGAATATAGAGTATGTGATATTTTGTCATGGAAAAAGTCACTGAGATAGGAGAAAGGCAGAGATAAAAAAGGGAAGAAGAAACAAACAGATACGGCAAAACGAAGCCCTTTTACGCACCTGCGTCCACTTCGTAGCGTCCATGAATTCCGACAAAGAGAAAGCCAGAGAGAGAGAGAGAGAGAGAGAGAGAGAGAGAGAGAGGGAGAGATGGTGGCTGAGAAAGAGAGAGAGAGAGATAGGGAGAAAAGGCAAAGAGAGAATGTTTTTTGAGACAGTTTTTTTCCTGAGCGATGGCTCGTAATGCGTTGGCTTTCACTTTATGGATGATCGACAAAAAAAAAAAATCAAACGAAGAAGAAGATAAAAAAATATTTAAAATGAATATTTTTTTTAATAAGAAGAAACACACAAAAGCAAAAGCGGGGTGTGTTGTTTTTGACTCTTGTAGTTATTTTATATATTTTCGAGGATTTGAAAATTTCGTGCAAGGAATTAATTTGTGGTCTTTTTATAATATTATTACCACCGTATGTGTGTCATGATGCACATATTGTGAGTGGAATTATGAGTTGTATTCTATTCTTACTTAGCCTCCCGTTTCTTCATCGGATATTATCTCTTCGTATATGATCCCTCGAATCGTATCTACACTACATACATGATGGGCTTATTAGTTATATGAGATAATACGGTGGATATATATACATAGGTTAATCAAGTTTTTTGACAGGCGTAAATTAATGTTTGTGGACTATATAGTATATGAACATTTTTTTTACAGCGTTGCAGTGAAAACTTGGCTCTTCCTAATATCTGGATTAAAAAAAACAAATTAAAGGGCGGGGGTGGAGATAATATTCATCCCCTTGTCGTCTCTTTTGGGCTCTTACTTTCCCCAAAAGCTAAAAGGACCATTGCATCACACATGTCTAAAGTTATTATGATTGGATTTAAATTGGTAAAGCTATAACATAACCAATGTCGCATTAATCAGATTATTAAAGATAACCAAACAAAATTGAAAAAGGAACGAAAGTATTTGGAAAATCGAGGCCAACCATGCCTAAACCAATGGATCCTCGTCGCACCATCAATATATATTTTTTTAATAATTCATCATTACTCTGAAAAAATATTAAATCACGTGTTTTGTCCATCCGAACATATACCAATTCCGCATAATATGCATAATAATGAGTTCAATATTACTAAAAATTAATTAGTAAAAAAGCTTTGTTCGTAGTTATAAAAGTATTAAACATTTCAGTTATATATACCGTAGTTATATAAAGTATTTTTGTGTACATGTACACTGGTTTACATGTGAGAAAAAAATTACACATAGCAGTTAATGTTGTTTGTTCTATTACGAGATGATTAGTTTCAGAGCTTAATTAAGAGGAAAAATTTGAAAAGATTGAGGGGGAGGGGCCGACAGGAAACGACAAAAAGACGGGGGAGATGGGCCCCACATCGGTTGTGAATTAGATTTTGCTTTTTCTTCGGTCTCTGATCTTTCTTGATGTTGACACCTGTCCTTCTTCCCCGAATCTTATTCTCTGTGGTATCTCGCGTGTCGTTTCGCTGTTCTAGCTTCACCTCGCTTGCCGTTTTCATTCATCTGCTCACAATCCGACACGTGTCCCATTAATATTCTTAGCTTGCTCGGTCCAGCCCGTCTACAATTAAAGTAGGCCCAACACATTAATTGGCCCATATTTTTATTGGGCCCATTAATTACCCTCCTCTTAAGCCCAATAGACCGTATCCTCGAATATATATTTTTTTTATCCGTTATTCTCTATACGCTTGATTTAAAAATTTGCAGCCACGGAAATTGGGAATCGATTTCATGTGTATTCTATTATTGGATTGGACAGGTTTAAATAATTCTCGGCCCTCGCACGAATTTTATTTTGAAGCCACTAATTGCGCATTATTTTTCTTGTCTACTCGGGCCACGAGTTTCCTTTATCCCCCAGCCATTCATGTTCTACATATGACAATAATGCAACTCCATAAAATCATAATATCCTTTAAATATATGTTTTTTTTTAAATTAGAGCCAGGTCTTCATGTTTTTTTATTCAAAGCAAACTCATACCCACTGGCAATTTGTACTGGAATTTATTTGTTTTTAAGTGTTCATAATTTTATTTACTCATATTCTTTGGGCGATTGGGTGGTGGAATGTGAAAAAATAGAATTCACTTGTTCATAACAGAAATAAATAATATATAGAAAGAAATCGGATCTCATCTCACCGGCAGTGATATTTAAAATAAAGAGTCTGTAATTTATATTTTTTGAGTTGACTGTATAACAGGATAGTATTATATTAGGTAGTAATCTGATGTAATTTACCTGCGTAGGATCATGAAAAATATTTGGATCCCATGGTATGAATCTGATTATAAATAATTGTTTAATTTTTTCCTTGGGAAAAAAGTGACGAAATAGTGCAAAAAAAAAAATGGTCCTTTGGCAGAGGGCAGGAAAAAAAAAATTGGATCTTGCGTGTAGAAGCTGAAGCACCCGAGAAGTCCCCATGGCGGCTAGATGACGAATGGTCCGTTTTTCAGATTCGACGGAGTCTTCACGCAAAACCCAGGTCCTCAAAATCCTGAATTTCACACTTGAATTTAGTATCGTCTTCGTCTGAGTAGCCGCAACACTTTGTACTATTCTATTGCATCAGGTGTTTCACAATCTAGGTTTTGTTGCTTGTAATCTCACGTTTCCTTTCCGGGTTCTGTTCGAATCAAAAGTTTTCGGCTCGTGGGTTGTCCGAATCTGTTTTGTTTTCTCTGCTCTGGTTTCTGGGTCTGAATCCCCGTAGTTTCGATGTTTGAGTTATCCCTGCAGGGAATTCTGAGTATTGCCTAGGGTTCTTGGCTGGTGGGGAATTCTGCTTGATGGATGTGTAGAGATGGGTTGAAGCTTCGTCGTCGTCGTCAACTTGCTGATGGGGAGCTTAAGCGAGGAAGAAGATCAATTCTTCGATACCCGAGAGGATATCACCTCAGTCTCGGATTCCGGATCGGAGGATTTGGATCTGGAAAACGAGATTAGGGATTCATTCTCAAGTGTTCTTGGCTTTGATATATGGATCAGGAACCCGCTTAGCATCCATGAACGCCGAAACAAGTTTCTGAACTCAATGGGTTTAAGCCTGGATGGCAGAGAAGAGGAGGATCATGGTGACAATCCCAGTTACGACAGAATGACGGATCGTAGTGGAACTTTATTAGCATCGTCCTGTTTCAGCGAGAGGTTGTCGACGAGTCAGTCTTCCCTGACATCAGACTCTAGGGAGTCGATGGATAGAGCTATGGAGGATAATCTCGTTTTAAGGATCAAGAACTTGGATGATGGAACAGAGTTCATTGTCGATGGAATCTGTCAAGATGGTAGTTTTCGTAAACTGCATGAGTTAAGTTCCAATCGACTGTTCACAATCGAGGAGTTTGAGAGAAATCTCGGTATCTCTCGTCCGGCCCATCGAGTAATGCCAATTCGAAGAGATTTCCAGAAAGTGATTCGAAGCTCGGAAGCAGGTAGGAAGAGAAAAGGGTGGTTAAAGAGATTAGGTGTCACGGCCTGCGTTTACCCGATGGTAGGAACAAGCGTTAGTGAGTGTTGTCAAACTGCTAGACATAAGGAACATCCGGTTAAAGTCCATGTTCATCGTAAGCAAGTAAAGGAGTTCTCTGCTCTTTATGCTGAACAGGACTTGAAGGGTCATGACGGCCCAATATCGGCCATGAAGTTCAGTCCTAACGGGTGCTATCTCGCTACAGCTGGTGAGGACGGGATTGTTCGCGTTTGGCAGATCCTAGAGTGCGATAGATCCCGGGATTTTGAAACTAACGATTCAGATCCTTCGTATATGTACTTTACTGCTAATGATAGTCTTTCGGAAATAGCTCAAGTTCGATCTTGTAAAGATAAAAAGGTAAAGCTGAAGAGCTCTGGGAAAATGCCGGATTATAAATTTGTCATCTTTCCTGAGAATATTTTTAGAATCAGGGAAAACCCGATTCACGAGTTCAGAGGTCACTGTGGTGAAGTGTTGGCCATCTCTTGGTCTAAGAACATGGTACGAGACGATCTTCATCATTTTCCTTTTTCTGGTTAGGGTTCTTGTTCGGTTTATCACAACTTCTGTTTATGACTGTTGCAGCATATCCTCTCATCATCTGTCGATAAAACCGTCTGTTTGTGGCAAGTCGGGTATGACCAATGTCTAAAGACCTTTCCTCACAACGACTATGGTATTTCCTTAAATTAAATTCTTGCATTGCTATCTGCATACGGTCCGAGGAAGAATCGTGTTTTAGCCCTCAGTTTCTGTTACTCATATACAGTCACCTGTGTGGAATTCAACCCCACGGATGATAATTACTTCATCAGTGGTTCCATAGATGGTAAAATACGTGTATGGGATGTCGCCCGTCGTCAAGTCGTGGATTGGACAGATGTCCATGAAATTGTTACTGCCGTTTCTTATAAACCCGATGGAAAGGTATTGTAAGATGCCCTTCTTTGGTTTTTGAAAAAGAACTTCGGAAACAAGATTTACGAGGATGAATGGTCATGGAGTTTAAGTTTTTACGCAGGGTGGAGTCATTGGAACTATAAGCGGCAACTGTCATTTCTACACTGCTGCAGGTACCTTAAATCTTGTTTTCCATACAACTCTATAGAATAGATTCCAAGGAACTTCACTGGCCGGTTGCTTCTGCGGGTAATCTAACCGATATTTTTTGCGTGGTTCAGATAACCTTTTGTCACTTTATACCCGAGTTTGCTTTCGACGCAAGAAGAAGTCATTGCTCAACAGGATCACGGGTTTTCAGGTACTACAAAAGTTCTTTCTTGACGAGGAATTTCTTCGTTCCTGAGTAATGTTATGTTGAATGAATGCGTTTTGAAACTTGCAGTTCTCTCCCATCGATCAATCGATTGTATTGGTCACTTCTGCTGATTCACAAGTTCGAATCATACGTGGTGTTGATGTGATTCGCAAATTCGGAGGTAAGCTTAAGCTAGGTTCTTGTCTTACCTCTACCAGTTTTGCCCAAAAAAAAAAGCCCCCGACTTTTGATGATCTCTGGGTATTGTCTTCAGGTTCATACAGTTCAGGAATTCGGATGTCCTCTGCATCTTTTGCATCTGATGGGAAAAACATTGTTCATGTCGGTGATGGCTCCATTGTGCATATGTGGAACCACGAAATCTCGGACTCTCCACTTCCCCGCAAGAGAAACGGTAATCCTTTCGAGTGTTTCGTCTCTGAAAACGCGTCTGCAGCTCTTCTCTGGCCTAATGTCGCCAACCACGGGAACTTCTCTTTCCCGAGTGTCTTTGCGTCCTTGATCTCTCGGAAACTCTCTCAGACGGGCGTTTGCTCGAGATCTCAGAGCATGCCATTGCCGGAATCTTTTTCCAAATGCTCCGCGACTTGGCCTGAGGAGAATCTTCCATCAGGGTCACCGGTGCCTAGATCCGAACATAAGGGTTCGAAGACATCCTGCGAGGAAGTTCTTGGTTCTTGCCGTTCGTGGGGCACTGTCATCGTGACGGCCGGATCCGATGGACGGATAAGATCGTACCAGAATTTCGGCTTGCCTGTTCGAGTCTAGATATCGTGACAGGCAAGAAAGCTTGTTGTTTCCAGTTGTAGATCGTGAGTTTTGTTTCAGTAATTAATTACATGTAGAGATTCGTTTGTTCAGTCAAATGTATACAGACAAAATCGAATTTGTCTAATTGTATTGTAATGATATTTTTTTTTATATACACAAATTGCAAATTGGAAAGTATCTCGTTGTCGACACATATTGATAAACGCACAAAAAGGCTATCACTACTAGTCGCAATGGCGAAATGTGACGGAAGGGATATGATGGACCTTGTGATGATCTTCTCCCCCTTCAACCAACCTCTCCTTGAATTCCTTCTTCATCAGTACTATCTCCAGTTCCTTCAGAGCGGAGATGCATCTCAGTCCATCGGGCAACCTCTCCAGCTTCGCGCAACGTTGGATCTGCAGACGACGAAGACGAGGCATGGACCCGTCTTCCACAACCCACTCTTCTAGGTTATGTTGCCACGATATCTTTAGATAACGCAGTTGAGGGAACCCGTGTCTCGAACAGACCATCTTCCTCGATGCGAAACTATTCAACATTAAATCAACTTCCTTCAAGCTAGGCATCTTCTCGAGAAAGGGTATCGGGTCCTCCTCTATTTCGCAACCCCATAACACTATAGACGCCAGGTTGGGAGCAAACTGGAGTTTGTCTGGTAACTTCACCATCATTATAGAACTCAAAAGTAGCCGCTGGAGATGTGCGAACCCTGAAACGAGTCCTCCTACATCGACTTTAACAGGGCTCCCAACCTGCTGTATCACCCCAAAGTCCTCCACAAGTTTCGGCATGTCTCTGAGAGATAACGGCAGCATATCTTCATCCGATGTTCCGTGGACATTGATATGAAACTGTCTAAGGTTTGTCATATGGAGAAGGTCCTCCACTCTGCAATGCTTCGTTGAGAAGTTGTACAAGGTCTCCAACTTTACCAGGCTATCCATTTCCAGCTTTGTCTCGTCACTGAGTTTCGTAGGCAACCTAAGGTAACTCAGATCCTTCATCCTCCTCAAAACATTGGGCACATGAATTCTTTGGGATGAACTCCCCAATTCCAAAAAGACCAGCAATGTCAGATTCCCAAGAGAGGATGGTACCTCTGTCAAATTAGTCTCATATAAGCTCAAGTACCGCAAGAGAATGAGCTTTCCGATGCTCTTTGGTAGCTTCCCTCCTTGAAATTCAACTCTACCAAGATCTAACACCCTGAGCGACCGTAAACCTCCAAAGCTCAGAGCTGAATTCCAATGAGTGTCGTACCTTTGATTGATGCACAAAAGAGATCTTACCTTTGGGTTTCTTATTTGCATTTGGTGAAATGTTATTGGTCCTTCATCATCTATATCCAAATGTACGGCAAGCCTGCGAGGCCTACATGCGGGTATCTGAGACGAGGCATTGCCATTCTTGATAAGAGCTTCAGCAGAGACAACTTCAAGGAAGTTCTCTTCCTTGGCTATCCACAAACACACATCTCGCATCACATCATGCACACGAATCATGGTGATTCTTGAGCTCACATAATCTCTACGAGAGACTAAGACCATATTCCTCCTCACAAGCTCCTCGAGGTAGCCTTCTGCGGCATCCAGGATGCTACTATTGCCCTCTGACGAGATTTCTACTATTCCCTCCGCAACCCAATATTTGAACAATACTTCTGTACGTATCTCTTCATCTTCCGGAAAATGGGCGAGGTAAAGAAAGCAGTGCTTCAGACGCACGGACAAATCTTCGTAGCTCAAAGACAACACTTGGAACGCTTGATTCACTTTTTGGTCAGGACTGATTCCTCTTATGATTTGAGATCCGATGCTATCATGTACCCTTTTCCACTCGGATAATGTGCGTTTGGAGGATAACAACCCTCCTAGCGTTTTGACAGCCAACGGTAATCCTCCGCAGCGTTTTATCATTTTGCCAACCTCGTCTTCCACTTCATCCATCTCAAACTCTTCACACAACCACAAACACAACACCTTACAGTTAGTATTTCACCAAAAACATTTAAAACTGAATTGCCGATTATTTCCCTGTGTATATGAAAACACCATAGCTTCCAAAGGTACAAAAACTTTCGATTTATATGTTTTTAAGAATGACAACTTACCAATATCGTCTCTTCCGGAAATTGCGATATGCTGTAACAGTTCCCGACTCTCTTCGTGAGTTAAGCGTCTTGGTCTAAAAATTTTACATCTCGGATCTGCATATGAAGCAACGTCCTCATTCCGAGATGTGAGTAAGATCTTAGTACCTGCCAAAGAATCACAAGGAGGAAGAAGAACTTAAGGTTCATGCTGATGAGGAAGAATATGAAACCTATTCAAACATGTAAAAGAATTTTAATCGTACAAAGGCTTGAATGGACAATTACCTTGATCCTGTTCTCCAATTAATATGTTAATCTCTTTAAAAATAAATTAAAAGGTTACCTGGTTTTCGTGTAAAAGCCGGCTTTAGAAGGTCCCAATCTTCCTTACTCCATATGTCGTCGAGGACGATCAAGCATTTACTGGTTTCAAGCATTTCGAAGAGCTCATCCTGGAGTCGCTCTTCTGACATTTGCCGGATTCTCTGTTCCTCTTCTTTTGCTCTAAGATTCAACAAGATCTCCTGCCAAACGTACTTTCGCCTACATTGTTTTGAAACACACACCCACGCAAGCTTGTCAAAACGACTCCGCACCGTGTCATGGTGAAAAACCTGTCTAGCTAGAGTGGTTTTCCCGATACCACCCATCCCGCATATAGCAACCATTCTGATATTGTCATTCTCCGCCAAACTTCCCATTAGTTCTTGGATGCTATGCTCCAGCCCCACAAGATCACTTTCGGATTCGTTAGGAAACGTTTGTCGAGCGTCCCTTAATCTTTCGGATAAAGGCTCTGGAGGAGTTCCATTGTCGACGATATATTGGATGCCAAGTCTTTGCATACTCTCCATCACCCTGGAGATTCTGGCAGTTATGCATTTGATCTGAGAATCAACATTTCTGCGATTCATCGGGTTGCGAGTAAACTTAGTGAGACGCTCTACGATCCCCTTCTCATCCACAGACGCTTCTTTGAGAAGAAAGGCTTCAATAACATCCTCCACATCATAGACAATCTCATTTATCTCATCCAAACAGTTCCTCACCCTTTTGCTTGCGTGTTTCTTGGCGTCTGCATCTTTAAGAAAGCCCTTCAACCGTCCCACTTCATCTCGTAACTCGGTAGCTCGTTCGTGGATCCCCGAAAACCGTTCGGATTCCCGAACCAGCAGATCCCACAGCTTTTGAACTCCGAACGAGACAACTCCGTCGGCCATGGCTTGACTCTCCTATCGATCTCTAACATCAAAAGGAAAAAGAGATACCATAAACAAAACTCAGATCTATTAACTTCGACGTAGTCCTTGTGCACATCTCTTTCTCTCAACCATAACAACAAGCATACGAACGCGATTCAGTGATATATATATCCACAGCACTATAGCCTAACCGGAGCATCGATATATAGAAATATGTGCAGAAAAATCTCAACAACAGAAGACGAGAACCCAAGAAGGGTTTTCGACGGAGAACTGGAGGGGGAAATGATAAGTGCCTTACTTTCCTCGGAACCCAGCAGAAGCAGCTCTTCTTCTTCTTCTTCAACTATGGCGATCTGATCCGACCAAACGAGTATTAAGAATAGACCCAACAGGACAGGACAGGAGCAGCAGTCGTCAACTGGTCAACAGCCCAACCTGTCACTTCAGTCATTAAACCAACAGTGTGATGCCACGTTAAAGTAGCCTCGTGCCTCTGCTCTGACTAGTGCAACATTTAACAATATAATATGCGCAACTCGGCGTTAATCTCGGAAATCTTTGAGTTTTCCGATGCGATCCACAGGCCTGTATATACTGAATCGAGATTGGCATTAAGGCCCACTAGCAGAATTCAATTTACTAAATCCACATCATTCGACGGATAAATCATTGGACAAAATTCGATTTACTAAGCATCTGCATTTAATTAACAGAGTACATAATTGTCGTCAAATGATAATCGTACGTTTAACTTGGGTTTATCTTTAATGTTCTCGGATTTGGATCCGGTAAACGGGGTTAGGGATGGATTCTCAGGTGTTCTCGGCTCTGACATATGGAACAGGAACCCGCTTAGCATCCATGAACGCCGAAGCAAGTTTCTGAACTCAACCGGTTTCCGCCTTATACAATCCGCCATTCTGCCGTAAATGCTCCGTCAGGGTCACTGATGCCTAGATCCGACCGTAAGGGTTCGAAGACATCCTGCGAGGGAGTTCTTGGTTCTTGCCGCTCGTGGGGCACTGTCATCGTGACGGCCGGATCCGATGGACGGATAAGATCTTTCCAGAATTTCGGTTTGCCGGTTCGTGTCTAGAAACCGTGACTGCAAAAAGAAAGCTTATTATTTTCAGTTGTAGATTGTGAGTTTTGTTTCAGTAATTAATTACATGTAGAAATTCATTTGTTCAGTCAGATGTATATGGACAAAATCGAATTTGTCTAGTTGTATTGTAATGATTTTTTTTTTTTTTTTTGTAAACAAATTGCAAATTGGAAAGTATCTATCTCGTTAGCTCCCTTATGTTGTTTGAAATGTGATGTTTGCATTCAGTGATCTTTTATAACGTCGTGTA